TTAAGCTTCCAACCTATTTGTAGATTCTCCTCTCCCTCCTTCTACTACTGTCCGCCCTTCAACCGATTGGATTATCGATCATACACCACCATCAATTGTATGTATACACAAAGTCATCTTTGCTATTATTCTGTCAGCATTTTGTACTAAACTATAAACCTTTCCTTAGCCGACCCCTACTGATGCATATCTTGGTCTTTCTCGAAAGAGAAAGTATATATCGGATGCTGACAATTTCAAGTCAGTTATGATGATAGCCAAGGATTACTGCATACCTTGCTTGTTTACTTTTGGCATAGCCGAAAGTGAGCATACAACCTCTCTCCAATGCATTGCTCATATTGGTCAATGTTTCTGTTGCTTTGGTGACCACTATGTATCGAATCCTGCATGTGTCAAGCCAGTAAGGGATGGCTTCTGTAAGAAATGCCTTGTGCCCAATCAGTGGAACCAAACCATCTTCCAGGATGGTAACTGGTCAAACTGCAGTGGTACCTATGAGGACCTGTTATACCGTCTCTGCTGGGCAGCCTATTAGCGTAAGCCCCAATTTATCCGCCAAGCTGGTTACAAAGAAAGTTACCTTCAAGCAATTGAAATTCAACAAGATTTCGCATACTGGCTTATAGCTGCTGGTCCCCACACATATCCAAATAATGCCATGCATCTAGGCCATATCATTCTATCACACTTCTTTGTTACATAAAACATTTACCTCTCTGCTCTCCTCTTTTTATCTCTTTACACACACTTTCTCTTCTCTCCTTCTCTTTTTTATTATATTATATCTCCCTTGTCTCTATTTTCTCTTTTTCTTTCTTTAATTGCCACCCCCTTTTTATTTATTATTTCTTAAATATATTTTACTTATCAATTAGATTTATACTTTTAAAAAAAAAAGGGGTATACCTAGGGTATACCTAGGTTCACTAGGTTTACTTATTAGAGGATAGCTTATACTCAATAGTAGATGGCTTATATCTCCACAATGTATTAAGTAAGTAAGCATTTGCATCATAGTAAATTGTGTTCCTGGACCTTGTCTCTACCCGAATATCAAATAAAATTTTTGAGTAGACCTGGGGTAGACCTGGGTCTACTGGGTCTACTTAGTAGAGGATACCTTATGCTCAATAGTAAATGGCTTATATCTCCAAACCATATTAAGTAAGTAAGCATTTGCATCATAATAAATCGTGTTCCTGGACCTTGTCTCTACCCGAATATCAAATAAAATTTTTGAGTAGACCTGGGGTAGACCTAGGTCTACTGGGTCTACTCCACCTACTAAGTAATCGCTGTGGCAATTCTATAGTGCTATTGGATCGAGGCTACCATCTTACTTTGAGATTATCGAACAAGATGCGAAAGGAAAAGAAAAATCAGAAAGAAGAAAAAAACTGTTACTGAAAAAAACGAATCCAACCCAATGGTCAAAAAAAGAAAACTTACAATAATTGAGAACGACTCTGAAGAGCTTTGGCCAAACAAAAAGCGTAGTACACAGGCTCTATATGATCAAAGGTATAGGCATATATTTGCCTAGTAGTGGTTTCATATATATGAACTTACACCGTTTGCTGTGTAGCTTGACAATACATCCAGATATTCCATTGTCGTACATTACAGACTCGGTCGAGATAAAGCCGGACAGATGGTGTGGGCTCAGAACTTTGTCGTATCTCGAATATAAAAGCAATCAAGATAAATACGCCGACATCAAAAAAAGAATGCATGAGTACGTGGTGGCTAAGGGAAAAAGCATTTGTTTATCTTACATCTGTGGTGGCAGCCAGACGGAATATGAAAAACTGGTCAAAAGGATGTCTTATGGTGTCGCCTTTAGTGATATTGAGGCCGACTGTCCCAAGGAGTACTGGTTTGACGGAAGCGTGGATATTCAGTTGGCAGCCAATGCTTTGGAGCGGCTGATTGCTTGCTATACATCTGGTCCATGGGCGAAATATCATCCGCCGTCGCTGACATTGCCATACTCTGTACCTTCGGGCAAACGATATAGTCTCCTGCCGTTCGTTATGCATTTCGTGAATGGGAACCATTGGGAGCTGGTCTTGCTGCGATCATCTGTTAAATTGCGATGGCCCCCGATATCACAGCGACATAAGCAGCAATGGAACGAGATCAACCCAGGTCACGATCACAAAACGTTTTAGAGGTACCTGCATATCAAAAAAACAGTGGATCAAGATTCAACAACAATTAGCCTAGAAAAAAGAAGACAAGCGTCGCCCATTCTGATTTTGGATGAATCTGATTGCAATATTGATATGTGGGGCGATCATCATGGTACCTATAACTTGCCGCTCTGTATCTTTGTATTCTAGTAACTCTGAACACATCTGTTATACTACCTAGATCATGGTGCAATAGCATGTTCCCATTGTCAAACACACCTGCCATTACCGTTACCTCCTACTGTACAGAAGCAGTACGATGAATATATACAAAAAGAAGAGAAGCATAAGAAACAAGAAGAATGCCGCATTAAAGAACTTTCAAATCAGCTGTATATACAACGATATCAGCAACAAGCATAGCAAGTACAATAAGTACAACAAATAAGTAATAATAAATATTATTACTATTATTAGTAATGAGGATCAAAATAGTAGTAATGAGGAAGTTAATATAGAAGATTAGCCTTATTTTCCTTCCCTTCTCCACTCTTTTTCTCTACTTTTATTCCTTCCTCCTTTTCATTCTCTCTCTACTTATGCTACCTTGCAAACCCTTTTCTATCTTATCTATTCTATATTTTACTCTTATATAAATATCACTCTATTATTTCTATCTTATATATATTTATAGTAACATAAAAATAAGTAACAAATTTTTTTACAAATCTGGCCTCCTTTCTAGCTGAGATTATTGCTTATATGTGACTCTATATGTAATTTTTTTTTCCCACACTCTAGAAGCATTTAGGTAAGCCAGAAATAAGGTTTATACTTACTGGTTGCTGAGGGATTGGAACTCTTGATCTTCTGGGTCTAAAGCTGATGCCTTAACCACTTTCGCACCTATTTTTTACATATATGGTAATCGATTAAAAACAGTCACTCTTCGAAGAAAAACCGTCACACGTCGAGGAAAAGCAGTCATACTGAGTAAATTCTTATGGTTACCCAAATAAACTCAGAAAAATAATTTTCTATATAAGGCAGCTTCAGTAGCTATGTGACTGCTATTGCCATTTTAGTATGTTGCTGCTATACATAGTAGGTACATGTACTGCAATTTATAGTGCTTTAGCTACAATATTGCACCTTCTAGAGGTCTTAATCTACCTTAAATAAAGCTACTTTCAGTAATTTTTGTACATCCTTATATGTAATGTCTAAAATAAGCAATGTGACTGTCTTTTATAAAAGCATATTTAGATGTATATGCATTATATATATATGCCTACAAAGGTTTATAGCAATAGTAATAATAATAGATGAGCTATGGTACATGAAAGGAGAGATACTTAAGGATGGATTAACTAAGGTTGCTCTCATTTCGCTCCGAACAGAGAACCCAAAATAGTTTTGCAAGAATTCAAAGTCCTCTCTACTCGGATCGAACATAAAGGCGCACCGCGCCGAGAAACTTCCTTTTCTGTACATACCCCGAGGTGTTGCATGAATAACAACGCGATTGCCATAAGAAACTTTGTACCCGACTGCTGTATATATATATATATATATATATATACGCTGTGAATATAGTAGAAGCTAATAAATAAATTTCTCTATAATTCACTTCATCCATTGCCTCTCTATTTTTTCTAATACCTATTATGCCAAACAACAGCAACAACCACAACAACTTTCAAATCTTGATGTGGACACCCGCCAGTTCATCATCAGATCCTCAGCAACAGCAGCAGACACAGCAACAGCAAGATTCAGAAGCACCGATGCAGACACCGGAATCCCAAGCCCCAGAAGCATTGCCTGCATCAGTGGCCGCTGATAGTGATTTGACATCGCCTCTACCCAGTTCGCAGACGCCCATTCCTACCTCTGCACGACGCCATACATGGGACGAGGCCCACATCGATGCACTCATTACGGCTGTAGGGACTCGATACGATAGACTGAAGACAGTTATCGAAACGCAAGCCAAAGGTCGCATCTGGAATGAAATACTTTCTGAGTATGTTGCAGCTGATCCGTTAGGTCGAAGTAAAGAAGCATTACAGAAGAAATGGCAAGATCTAGTCGATGAATATCGCGATGTTAGGGCTACGATTCGCAACAGTGGTGAGAACGGTCCTTCAGGTCAAGAGCGATGGTGCTACTATGACGCTGTAGACAGAATTGTGGGAACTGACCCTGCAATTGTACCTCCTGCCACGATGGATTCCCTCGATGGCCTCGTTGTCAATAGCACCCGACGAGAAAGGGATAACGATAACGATGTCAGCGAGCGGCCCACACAGCGACGACGAACAGCGGCATTTCAAGAGCTTGTCCTTGAGAATGCCGATCGGCAAACCGATCGCCTCATTGCCAGCATCAGCGAGGCATTCCAGCGGTTTGAGGAAGCAGAAGACCGGCGTTCGCGAGAGGCGCAGGAAGCAGAAGACCGCCGGTATGATATGTACTTGCAGACACTAAGAGATTTGTTTGGTAGCCCTACAAACACAAATAGAAGTGGAGAGCCTAGTAATAATAACGAAGAAGAACAATAAATTTTATTATATTATAATATGACATTTATTCAGAATTGTTAAAAGTGTATCTAGAATACCCTGTGTGATGATTAATATCTTCTATATAGCACTTTACTGCACTTTACAGAATGTGAAGAAGAAAACTAGTCATGCCATTACAGACAATAACTGCTACGAAAAGATGCCCAATTATTTTATACGCGAACTTTTAGTACCAAGCAGCACTTCACGTCAATATCTAAAAGATATAGAGCGATTACTGGAGCAATGTATAATGTATTGCGTTTATTGATTTGAGGACAATGATTCTTTAAGCATATCGCGTTTCTGACGCCCTTGTGCAAACAACCTTATACTGTCTTCTCTAGCACTAGACTGTCTATCAGTATCTATTATTGATATACGTCCGGTTTGTTCATCCTCTTCTGTGTTCAATGGAAACAGTTCGTCAGAGTGCGGATCGAGCTGCTCGATACAGATATTATGGAGTATGCAACAGGCATAAATCACCAGCGTCAGGTTTGTATGATCCATGAGGTACATGTAATGTCGCATGAACCTCCACCGGGAAACAAGACGACCGAATGCTCGCTCAATAGCCATTCGCATTGAAGAATGGACTTTGTTGAATCGCTTTTCCGCTGGATCAGTTGATGAGCTAGGATACGGCGTCATGATTGTTGGCCGCAGAGGAAAAGCAGAATCTATGAATAGGTTCAAATGCAGAATATAAGCAAAGCTGTAGAACATCAAAAGTACAGGACTACTAACCGGCAAGAATGTATGTTCCATTAGGACACCATTGTTCAGGATCACTCAGCAGTCTGGTATTGAGCGCACTGTTATTGAAAGTGCGGGCGTCGTGAGTTCGCCCTAGTGAACATATATTTGTGATGCAGTTGCAGTCAGCAACGTGTACGTTAAAGACATTAATAAATCTCTTGTAGATTACTGTACCTGATTGACCCACGTCAATAAAAGTAAAGCGCCCATCTGCAGCACACACAGCAAGCAAGTTTATCGAGTGATGCAGTTTGCGGTCAAAGTACCGTTGACCTTGCTTCGTTGGTTTGTGGATCACCACGAGCTTGCCATCCATAGCTCCAATCGCCCCTTGCAGCCTTGCTGAGGCATCTCGAGAGGTAGGTAAACCGGAGGGCAAAGAAAAGGCGTTGGAAGCTTCACGGGCTTCTTCTGGAGAGCGTGGCCACTTGATATTGGAGCCATGGATGTCGCAAATAGCTTTTATGAATCGCACAGTAAAGTTGTGATACGATCCTTGAGAAAAGCCAAATTGCGTCTCAAACATTCTGTATCCAATGTGAGTATTTGCAAAACGCCATAGTACGCAGCAGACTTGAATATAAACTGGTGTCATTCTTGATGACTCTGACACAAATTCCTGATGCACAGACAAAGTATTGACAAGCCATTCCAATGTGGATTTACGCATGCGGTAATGATATTTATAGCTGCCAGGACCGTCGTCATCGCGAAGATTCGAGTGGGTCAATGTCCAATATTCCGTGCTGTGAATTCTTGGGATCTTGGCTGCTCGAAAATGATGCGGCGAACCAGCGTAAGCTGCGACGATGTTCGCATTGACCGAAGGAAGCATTCCTATGGCGGGTGCTACAAGTTGCGTCAAGAGCTTGATGAATGCTGCTCGACGACGTCTTTTTTCTTCAAGATGATTGTGCGTTGGGCGGCGAATAATGGCTGATGGTGGAATATTGTTCATTTTTATGATAAAAGCAGATAAAATAGATGAAAAATAGAGGGTGTATTTTTCTTTCGATACTTTTATTATTCATGAAAGTGACAGTTTCCTTTTATATCGATCCGAGCGAGCCACCACGGAGGCCTTTCCATCGGAGAAGCCACTACCAAAATTGGAAGCCTCCGAGAAGCCCTCTTTTGGAAGGAAAACGGAAAATTTATTTTCCATTACTACATTGGGGTATGGTGTTCTCTGTTCGGAGCGAAATGAGAGCAACCTAAAAAACACCTATATACTTAAGGATGGATTAACTAAAAAACACCTATATACCTTCTGCCTCCCGCTTGCTATCATTTTTTTTTTCCATCTGAGCTTGTCATCGATACTTCTTTGCTAATCCCTTTTTAGAAAATTTTGGTCATCGCTGGTCATCGCCTCTAGTCATTGTACACGCTTTTGGAAATTTTTGGTCATCGCCTCTGGTCATCGCCTTCCCTTTTTTACTCCGCTGGTCATCGCCTCTGGTCATTGCCTCCCCCTTTCTGTCACCGCTGGTCATCGCCCCTGGTCATCGCCTCCCCTTTTTTTTTCTCCGCTGGTCATCGCCTCTGGTCATTGCCTCTCCCTTTCGGTCACTACTGGTCATCGCCTTCCCCCCATTCTTGCAAATGCTCCCCCCACCACTGTTCCTTTTGGGAAAAATCTGGTCATTGACCAAATAAAGTTTTGGTCATTGTTTGGTCATTGTCATTTCACTTTTCCCTGCTTAAACGTGTCCGACATAGGTTTATGGCATCAACTCCTTCCTTCTCGCCTTAGTTTTCAAGATTATCGCCATGTGTCCGTTGCATTCTCACACTATCACATCCAACACTTGCTCGCACACCATGGCTCAAATTATACAGTGGACCTACAGGCAGGCCACTTGTCAAAAACTGCCGCACATAATTATGCATAGGCAACAACAGACTCGAATGCACTCTCTTCTGTAGCAATAGAAGAGTACTTTATTGCTTCAGAAATGTGGCATGATTTTCTTGGTATATTATCTTTGTTGTCATACTTTTACAACCTATCATTGAAATGTATTCACCACTCGTCAATTATAGGTGTCGGCCCTGGGCGTCATCTCTTTCTGGGTGCTATTCCGCAGGCGGAACAAGACCAAGTTGCTGCCTAGCATCGTAAATTCTTGGCAAACGTGGCTGCTGCAGAGAATGTGGCATTGCTTGAGATACAACACCGTTTGCAAGTGCAAAATGACTTAGACAGGCGCTAGTCAACAACCACTTCAACACCACTAGTACTTCCGCAAGGTACATCCTTTTTTTTCATCATCCTTACATGTAAAATCATAATTAATATTGCTCTCTACATAGGCACATCCATCACACTACAGATGCTTAACGCACTTGGTAAAGCCACTAACTCGCTGTCGCCTTCCTTCCGATCATTCGAACAGGCACAGCTTATCACCACCGTCATCTCCCAAAAATCTAGCATACTTACCATCCAACCCACAGGCTCTGGTAAGTCCCTGCTATTCCTTGTCCCTGCACTCGTCGAGTCACATTTGACAACAGTCGTCGTTGTCCCACTTGTCGCACTTTTGGCCGATATGAAACGCCGGATTCAGCAAGCTGGGTTGTCTGTAATAGAATATACTCCGGATATCACTATACAGCACCCCTTACCCAACATCATCATCGTCCAAGTTGAACATACTAGCAGTCAACGGTTTCTCAACATTGTGCAGCAAATCAACGACCATAATCAGCTAGCCCGAGTCATAATTGATGAGGTGCATACAGCAATCACATGGCATTCATTCTGTCCGGCATTATATACACTCCTTTTCCTCCGTTCACTCACCGTTCCATTCCTTCTTTTATCCGCAACAATTCCACTATCATTCGAATCCGACTTATGTGACATGTTTGGCGCAGACCTTTTAATTATACGACAGCCGTCAATGCGGGTACTGCATTACCATATTAATAAGAAAAATATTGTTATTTATTATAAAAACAATAATATTTTTATATTCATATAAAATTTTCATCTCTAATCTCTCCGACTATTATCCGCTAAAAGCGGATTATTTATCAAAATCTATGATTTTGTATATTGTTTAAAGATTTTGAAAAAATCAAGTCTCAAAAATAATAAAGCGGATATTATCCGCTAATAATATTTTAATTATATGATAAGAATAAGATGCGGAAATATTTCCGCAAATATATCGGGGATATTAGAAGAGAATAATTTTTTAAAATTTTCTAATTTACTTAAATAGAATAATAAAAATAGAAGTTTTTGGAAAAAACAAACCTTTAGGTTTCATTTTTAATTTTTATAAATAATATGATAAAAATCCAATCTCAGGATTATATTTTTTGATTTTTTGATTTTTTAAAAAGTAATATGGAAATATAAAAATATAAATTCTAGAATTTAATTTTTAATATTTCTTAAATGAGAAAATAAAATAAATATAATTTGAAAATTAATATAAATATTTAATGATAAAGCTTCCAGTAGGGAGCATTTATCTATTAATATTTATTATTATTTTCTGTCAGTTAGAAAAGGTTAACATAATATATAGGATTTGTATCGCCCTAATGACATGAATATATATATAATCTAGGCTATACTCTCGGTATTGTATTATCCCTATATTCTATTAATATTCTATGATAATAGCAAAAGTTTATTTATTATATCTTTGAAATTTATAATTCCATTTACAATTATTTTTTTTCTTTTTCTTTTTTAATCATCTTTTTAATTGTCTTTTTATTTACCCTATTAATAAAATTATTATTATTTTTCTCTTTACTTATCTGATCAACCTTATCAACCTTATTAACCTTATTAACTTTTTTAACTTTTCCATTTGTTTTTTTAGGTGTATGAAGTTTATTATGTTTGCTACAAAGAAAATCAGACTTAGCACCATTAAGATTTGTTTTTATTTTTCTATGACACATAAAACCTTTATTCTTACCTCTTTGATGTATGAAAGTACAAACATTATTACTTGTATTAATATACCAAAAGTAATTAGTTTTAACTTCATCGATTTTTTCCATTATTTTATTTTCCATTATTTTTTTTTATTTTCTATTTTTTCTACTAGCATTTTATCTTCAAAATAATTATGCATAACCTGATACATTAGTTTTTTAACAGAATTAATCATGGTAGGTCTGCATATAAGTAATTCGTTATTAAGAATAACCATTTTAAATTTTATTCTAAATGCCAAGAAATATAATGAGTATTTATTTTTATATAAAAAAAAATTCAATTTTGTAATTAATTTAAATTTTTATTACCAATAAAAAACTTACTACTAATTGTTTTTATATAAAAACAGTTGGTAATGCATATGCGCCAATGCGACCAAACCTCTGTTATCAAATTATCAACACCACCAATCCACAAGCTGCAGCCATATCACACCTACAAGCTCAGTATTCACCATCATCATCACCGTTATCCACCATCATCTACTGCTCTGCAGTAGATGCAACAACATCTATCAGTAACAAGCTTAAACAAGCATTACCGTACTACAGTACACAAATATCTTACTTCCACCGTAATCTTTCGGTAGACGAAAAACATAAACGAACAACTGCCTTTGTTTCCGGTGAGCTAAAAATCATGGTTGCAACAAGTGCATTCGGTGCTGGCATCGATTGCTCAACCATTGATACAATCATCCACCTTGGCGGCTCTGCATCAATCCTTGATTATGCACAAGAAACTGGTCGCACTGGTCGCAATGGTTCTCCTGCTCGGTGTCTGTACTTTGTTGACGTTGAACGCCAAAAAAGACAGATACAAAGTCTCAAGAGGGTAAACCGGCATCTATCTCCGTGGCAAGCATTTAATGATGTCATTTTGGCATCAAAGTGCATCCGGCAGATACTTGCAGAGTCTTTAGACTCTCAAGTTACCAACTGCTTTAGGTACGGTAATGTCGAGCTTTGCTCATATTGCCAAAAAGTCAAAGGTATACACACAGTTTCGTTTTACTATTCAATTATTAGATACTTAAGCTTCTAACCTATTTGTAGATTCTCCTCTCCCTCCTTCTACTACTGTCCGCCCCTCAACCGATTGTATTATCGATCATATACCACCATCAATTGTATGTATACACAAAGTCATCTTTGCTATTATTCTGTCAGCATTTTGTACTAAACTATACACCTTTCCTTAGCCGACACCAATTGACGCATATCTTGGTCTTTCTCGAAAGAGAAAGTACATATCGGATGCTGACAACTTCAAGTCAGTTATGATGATAGCCAAGGATCACTGCATACCTTGCTTATTCACTTTTAGCATAGCTGAAAGTGAGCATGCAACCTCTCCCCAGTGTATTGCTCATATTGGTCAATGTTTCCGTTGTTTTGGTGACCACTATGTATCGAATCCTGCATATGTCAAGCCAGTAAGGGATGGCTTCTGTAAGAAATGCCTTGTGCCCAATCAGTGGAACCAAACCATCTTCCATGATGGTAACTGGTCAAACTGCAGTGGTACCTATGAGGACCTGCTATACCGTCTCTGCTGGGCAGCCTATCGGCGTAAGCCCCAATTTATCCGCCAAGCTGGTTTCAAAGAAAGTTACCTTCAAGCAATTGAAATTCAACAAGATTTTGCATACTGGCTTATAGCTGCTGGCCCCCACACATATCCCAATAATGCCATGCATCTAGGCCATATCATTCTATCACACTTCTTTGTTACATAAAACATTTACCTCTCTGCTCTCCTCTTTTTATCTCTTTACACATACTTTTTCTTCTCCCCTTCTCTTTTTTATTATACTATATCTCCCTTATCTCTATTTTCTCTTTTTCTTCTTGATTGCCACCCCCTTTTCTCTTATTTTTTAAAATATATCATACTTCTTTATAGATCGATTTACACATAAAAAGGGTGTTCTAGTGCTAAGTGTTTGACTTTGTCCAAAAATGATACTTGATATCATTTATATAGATATGATACAAATGCAAATCAACTACTTGAAGCTGCCATATAGCTATTTATTATATTTTTCAGGTCGAATGTTTTCCCTCAAATTCTGCTGAAAAAATGACGATTGTCATTTGAACGTACATGTATGTATACTGATCCCACTGCTTAAAGGGGCCAAAGATTCAACCTCAAAATCCACCTAGTCTACATAAGAGTATACTATATATTCAATAGTAAATTTGTCATATCACTATCATGTATTAAGTAACTAAAGTTTTGCATCATAATAAATCGTGTTCCTGAGCCGTTTCTGATGCTAAATATCTAAAAATATTATGGAGTCCACCTGGGGTCTACCTAGGTGGACTGGGTAGACTTAGTAGAGTACACCTTCTGCTCAATAGTAAATAGCTTATATCTCCGCAATGTACTAATTAAGTAAGGCTTTTCATCATACTAAATCGTGATCCTGGGCCTTTTTTAATGCCAAATATCCAAAAATATTTTGGAGTCCACCTGGGGTCTACCTGGGTGGACTAGGTGGACTTGGTAGAGTATACCTTATGCTCAACAGTAAATAGCTTATATCTCCGCAATGTATTAATTAAGTAAGGCTTTTCATCATAATAAATCGTGTTCCTGGGCCTTTTCTGATGCCAAATATCTAGGTGGACTGGACCTACTAAGTAATTGCCGTGGCAACTCTATAAGCGAGAATGTCCGGGAAATCGAGCTGGCCGACATATATACCATTCCATTGGAAAATGAAGGCCCTACTCCAGATATCGAGTGCCCCTGTTTGGTTTTGCTGCTGGACCATGGAAAGACAAACCAATTCGGTAAAATCCAGCACGGATCCGCCATCTGCTGTGCACATGTCGAAACCTGTCTTTGGATGGCCCTCGGCCTGTATTTCTTCTGTCGTTGGCATGTTGAAGGCGAGGAATTCCCAGATATGTCGCGCCCACAATCCTAGTATAACATCAAGCTATGCAAGACCGACAATGGCGATCTCACCAAGAACATTACCCAGCCTGCGCATTACAAGGCTCTGTCTAAGGCTTTCGAAGCATGTAGGATCAACTCAACAGCCATTACACATGCTGGTAGAAAATCCGGTAGTAAAATGGCAGATCTGGGTGAAGCTGGTGATTCGGCAATTCGACGTGCTGGAAGATGGACCACTGACTCCATGGAGGGATCGTACTTGACCAACTTACCACAGCGATTATTGCGTGCGATGGCAGCTTTCGATGCCAACGGTAAAAATTTCTGGCTACCGCGCGATAGCGTTCAGCCTTGAGAAGCTTTGCTCTGTAAAGTTTTCCCGTAGATTGAAGAGTGGCAAGAAAAGATCGATCAAGGACTAGGAGACAAAAGTGTTGCGGCAGACAGATTCCTTCAGATGCTGCGTGTTCTTCGAAGGACCTTTTTGCAAGAATCAGTATTAATGATGGAGCGATACCCAGATTTATCTGTTTGGAAGCAGCCTCTGTTCAGCGATCAAGATTATTTGGATTTCAAACTGTGTAAGTAATTGAAATATCATTAAAGAGGTTATTACATGGTGCGATTATATATATATGAGTTATTTACCAATCGTACCTTGATTATTTTTAGTATGTTGAAGACTGCCATTGAAACGGCACCACCACCCGAGGAGCTCACTTTGCAGAAGTCAATGCCAGCTTTGCACAATTACATGCGCGAAATGTATCGCGATCTTTCATAGAAACTAGCTGTCCTTTCTCGAACGGTCGAAGAACAAAATAGAACCATGAATCAATTCATGGGTGATCTGGCAAACGGACGACTGACTATCACGGTGCAATGGAACGCACAACAGCAATCGCAGGTAGCTGCACTTTCTACAACAGCATCAACATCACATCCTACCTTTGCCGCCTCTCCTACATCATCATCCCATCCCGCTTTTGACCAATCCGCCACTAATGCCGCTTCAACTACCACTGCATCATCATCTTGTCCTATCCCTGCTAACTCGCCTGCATCTCCACCAAATACAACCATGGTAGCCCCGGCCACGACATCCTCAAGCAGCCAAATGCCAAAGTACAGGATGAGCGAAAACGTCACGAACATCCCGGATTTACACCGCGAATAGCATTATGGGCTATCCAGAAAACCTGCCATCAAAAAGTTGGAGGCTGATTACGGGAAAAAATGGCGTGGAGACAAGGCAAAATGGGTGTATCGCAGGCAACAAATAGTAAAAGGTATCGACGCGTTTATCGAGTGCCATGGTTTACAGCAGGATGAGCAGCGTGCTTTGGCTATATTAGAATACTGGCGAAAGCACCCAAAGGCTGAATGGTGTGCTGGAGGAGTCATAAAACCGAAATCCCTGGATTGGATAAGCAAGAATGTTAAGTTGTGGGAACAAGTAGACAAAGTAGATTTCTAAATGTCAATAAATCTGTCATGCCAATATTTAGTTTGTTGTATTCTATGTATTCTATAAAAATCAAGAAAGAACACTTTTCTTTGAGAGTGATACAGTAGAAAGAATAACAATTTATTTTTTCATGAACAGAAAAAATCGATTAGTCTAATTATTACCATGATCGATCAGATTGATCAATGTATACGAAGGTCATTCAAAAAGCATCGATCATGCACGTCCTCCGACAAGACACAAGAGCTCAATGCTGGTTAAGTGAGTAAAATGGCTGAGGACCTCAGGGTTAAAAATGCACTTATTAGCTCGGTTATTGGGGTTTTTTTATAAGAAAAAACCCCGGAATTTTCAAGACCCGCTGGACCTGTGAGGACTTCAGCGGACCCACGGTAAAAATAAGTTACTGTCCTTTTTCCATCTGCCTGCCGCCATTAATAATTGAATGCCAATGCTGTTTAAAAAAAAAGCACAAAGTCCCTTAGCTGTTGTTGTGGGCCACCCTTGTTAATATGGAGGCCACTCTGCTAGCTTTGAAAAAAATTGGGGGAGGGGTGGTTTAATGTGGACTCTATAAGGGAGTTGTCTTCGAAGTCATCTTTTACACTCTCTTTATTCTTGACACCTCTATTTCTATTGGCTACGGAACTGACCCACCAAAAGGGTTCGACACAACAAAATTTAAAACCATAATCCATTAAATATGGGAGTAACTTTGCCTTCTAACAGAATCGAACTGTTGACCTTCTGCTTACTAGGCAGACGCTCTGCCAACTGAGCCAAGAAGGCGGAGACATCTGCAAAGCATTGCGTGTGATACGGAACACTGTGGTATCTACAGGATTCCACTAGAGTTAAAACCCGATTTCAGAGTGCTTTCAGTGTACTCTGAAATTTTTCTTTCAATGTGCTTTCAATGTGCTTTCAGTGTGCTTTTAGTGAGAATTTACTTTCAGAGCGCTTTCAGTGCGCTTTCAGAGCCGTGATGCAGCAAATAAATTAAAATTGGCTCCCCCACTAAAATCCTTCTCCCCTAAAACCATCTGGGATGACCCCTTTTTTACACCACCTGGACTGCTGTGCTTCTTCCCACTCTGAGACTTTTACTGCCACTATGCTTGTCTCCACCACTTTGCTTTCTTCTCCTTTTTTTTTGTTTTTCAACCCTTTTTTGTTCGTCCCCTCGATGCTTATTGAAGCCTGAAGTGGTAGGAAAGGTTGGAAGAGTCGATCTGGAAATGTATTCTCGGTATATACATGATAAGATAGATAGCTAAAGATATGACTATAATGCCGCTTAATGGAATGCTTAGTAGCGCTTCCATAACTTAGGCGATGGTCGATCATGGTTTTTTTTTGCCAATTACTAAATCAAAATTCTTCAAAATTTTTATTTATTTGACCATCTACAAGTTTCTTGATTCGCCATCGCATTAGATTCCTTCAAAATGCTTTTCAAATCTGAAGTGATTTCCATAATTCAAAACTTCTTTTTTATTTTATTCTCTACTACAACTATAGCAGTGTGAAGCCAAAAAATAAAAAGACCAAGACCTGACCTGGGGTATTATGCTTCTAAGAGTAGATTACTTTTATTTTTTGTGGTAAATATGTAAGAGCACAGCTATTGTCTATTTGAATAGGGGTAACAACAATGCCGGAATGGAGCCTCCCCAAAGGAACGACACACTGCCACATATACGGTTCGACTTCTAAATGGTAGATGTCCATGCCTAGCATCCTAAACGACTCAAAGACTTGCGTATTTGGTTGTAGGTACTCAACAAAAGCAAAAACGAACTGGCAGAAATTACCGTCGGTGGGATTGCGCAGGTTGTAGACAAAGAAATATAAAATGCGCCCAGGACGAACGATCGCTTCAGTATGAACTTGAGTACTTGGGCAAATGACTCGGATATAGGTGCTGGTGTTGATGTGGTGAGACAATTCAGAAATGAATGTTTGGCCCAGGAGATCGACTTTTGCAAATTTGTAGAGGTGATCGCTGATGCTGGCGAGTGACACAAAATTCATGTCTAGAAACATCGATTGGTAATACTCGACAAGACAGTGGTAGTGGCGCATATCCAAGTACACCTTTTTGCCCATCTTGAGGGGAAGACATGATGGTGGCAGCGGCTCCCAACTAACTACGCTTACTCCCGCGGCATAGTCGAAATCCGATTGATTCAAGAACAGCTGACAATCGTAATGCTCTTGCATGGCTTCTGATTGTGGCAGCAACAGCTCAGCAATCTGTCTGGCAATCGTGCTATTGCCGCACTGCTCGACCACGACTCGTCGGACCATGTCATCAGCGAACACGACACTTAAGAACTTCTTCATGTACGTAAGCTCGAAATGGTCTTTTTGGTTGGTGTGCTGGTTCTTGATGATCTTGTTGAACCGCTCAAAGCTGAATACCTACATGTTATAGCAGCTGCCAACATTGAGTACCATGTCGCGAAGGTGAACATGCAAATGCATATTTGGCGTGACTTGATCTCTAGAGTACAATCTTGAAAAGTCGCGGCCAAATTTGAGCAGCAGTTGGTGGGCTTCCTCGTTTTCGGCGATGGTGATGGATGGCTTACACAGGAGACGTGCTGCTGCGACAAAGAGCAACCAGTGTGCCATCTTTTCTCCAAGCAATCTTCCCTTCAACAACGACGGCGAGAGTGCAACAGTCCACGACCTCCATTCATCTGACGTCATTCCAGCAAATCCAGTTGCAATACAGCCGCGAGCGATGCTGTATGATGGGGGCACCACCATCTTTTCGAGGCAACTCTCCATATCGATCAAATGCTCCTTGGTCAAGGTTCCATCATCTTTCCATATGGTGGTCATGCGCTCGGCTGTCCCACAGAACATGTTGTGCATACAGTCGACTATTGTCTGCGAAACGGGATCAAAGTATAGAAGACGATGCAATTCGGATCAGTGTGTTCCATTTGACTTCTCCAACTGTGTCCTTTCGGTAGCTGTTTTTGCTGCCTTCCAAGCTTTTGCGTCTGCCAAGTTCTTTGCCTTTGTCCGCAATCTCCAAGGAAAGTCAAAGTTGGAGTAATCGCGCAGCCTTGGAATCTCTGCTTGCGATGGCCAGGAAATGTCGCAATGGTTACATCTGTAGAATGAGTTTGGACCTGTAAAGCCAGAAACCTTTCTTGAAGCCAGTATGTCCGATGAGTATTAATCCATAACAATTAAATCTACTATAAACAGTGATTTAATTTTAGTTAAGGATTATACTGTCAAGCGTCTACTTTTTTTTTGTATTTCATCAAAAAAAAATGTGACTAATAGGCGTCGATCCAGTAGGTCTAGCCTAGGATTAATCATTAGAAAATGTTATAACCTTTAAAGTTTAAACATGTTTATAAGGTTTAAAAATTCGTATACGAATTAAAAAGTTTTAAAAAAAAAGATATAAAAAAAATAAAAGTTAAAACCTTTAAAACAAATATCTTTAAAAGGATAATCCTTTCCTAAACCATTGTACAAGTTTTATCAATGAAACCTATTTTAATTTATATTATAAGGATTGGTCCTCGATGCTACGAACAATAGAGCTGCTCGCACTTTGACCAAGGAGCCGTCATCAATAACCATATCTTTGCTATGATATAAATGTAACAGATCGTCGACCATTGGATGCAGGAAATTATTGATTTGCTCTATCAGTATAAAAAGGAAAGGGAATCAGATCACACATGCAAGACTCCAGAATCAACGAGCAAAAAGATAAGCAACAGTATAATCGAAATGGTACCTTTGGAGCTTTTGTGGGGTCCTGGTGCTATACTGACTAATATGAAATTTGATGACTTGAATCGTACAGATCTTGGTAGGTTATTGTTTGTCATATACAGGGCACCAACAGAATACGAAGTCTGCTTATCGAATGACTGGAACCAATCGACATTGAGCGTCAATATAAGTAAGTGTTGATTTCCGACACATCCAACGAATGATACAGGGTTTTCTGCTGTGGATTCTGGCGCCATTATCGACCACCATTTGCGACCATCATATACATCATCCAAAGAATTTGATCGTGGGGTTCGCTTCCTCCAGTACTCGAGTTTTTCGCCGAATCCTGGTCTATGCATCATAATTGCAAGGCTTGCTGACACAGGATGATACATATACACTTTGGGAGGTACAAGGTTTCTGTTTCTCAAATGAAACAAGTTTATGCCGCACCAGGCTCGGTGTGCTGTCATTGGATGGTGTGGGAACTTCTGGAACGAGCATTTCAAGTCGGTAGGTATATGCTCATTAGGATAGGGGCAGTGGCAGCTGGGACATACAACGATTGCTTGACTGCATTCCAAGAGCTCGTTAAGACCGGATATGTGGCGTACAGTAGCCATTGACTATAGGATACTTATTGGAATGTAGAGACCTGCGAAAACGACAGATAGAAAATGGAGGAGCAGCTCACCACCAGCCCTACTCAAATAGCGATCTTGGAACAAGGCCAGGAAAAGGTAAGACATGATAATAAAGTCGGATGGCCGTGTATTATCTGTGCAAAACATAGTGTATGAGATACTAATAATTTGAATTTCGTGCTACTATCGTTAGTTTATACGAGAACATAAATTTACCATTGGTGTTTTTGTCCTCTTCTCCCTCAACAGTAATGTCGAAACTGATAGTAGTGGTTGCAGCAAGTCAATCGTGCTTGTAGCTTGGCCGCTGGTCTCACTTAAGCTTGAATCAAGCTGCATTGGTGTTGCTAATGGGTCAAATAACAATAACGTTAATGGTCTGATCGTCGGTACTAGCACCGAACAACCCAAGACATTCCCACTCTGAAGACAAATGGCAACTTACAACTTTCACTAGTGCTTAGCTGATCTGAATAGAGTAGCTGGAGGCTTGAACGACCTTCCTACCATACAGAAACTATAAGGAAGCACTGCGCGGGAGTGGGCAAATAACACAGTAGACAAGTGGGCTATTTTCGAAAATATTTAGTTAGGGGAAAGCATACATCCTGCACCCCCCACTAGGCAAAGTGGGGAAGAATCAGGTAGTAGATAAGTACCTGATTCTTCGTTGAAACTTCTTTCCTGAAGGAATCAGGTACCTGATACCTACAACCATATAAACCGGGGATTATGCATATATAGCTATTTTTAATGGCGATAGTGGGGGTGCAATATGCAGTCAGTATGCATAGTAATGATAAGTAATGGATAAATAAACAACGATCAATATAGATTGATTAAAAAATTGAAGCGACGATACTGCATGCATTGTTTTGTTTTAGAAAAAACGTAATCATATTGTATAGGTGGAAAAGGATTTTTTATTTGATAATTTTCAGCAACGACAATAATGACAACAGTACTATATAAAAATATACGGTAGAACTATTATAGAAAGGGGAGCAGAGGTATAAAACGACAACAGTAGTACTATGTAGCTGCATAATAGGGTGCATAGGGAGAGGAACACGGCCGCGTGGTAATGCTGACGGCAATGGTGAAGAAGATTGAGAAGAAGTACTGACCTATAAGAACATTAGAGCGATGGGAAGGAGAAAGTTAATGACTGGAAAACTGCAAGCAGGAGGAAGAAAGTAGGAGAGCACAACTATTACTGACCTTTTTTGTAAAACTGAGAGGAGACAGACGTTCCTACCCCAGTTAAGAATAGAAAGGAAGAAACCACCTAATGGGGACCAGTTGAGGTTATAATGATTATGCTCTAGTTTAAGTGAATGAACAATATCTATAATTTTTGTTATAAACAACAAAATTATAATATTTTTCTATTCTAGTCAAGCTCCAGAATCAAAGATTCTGTCGGGCGTCAACCTAAAGGTCTAGCCTGGTTTTTCCAAAACATAATAGTTGAGATTAATCCTAGTGGTTGAGAAATTATTTTTTTTAAACAAAAAATTAATTTCATGATTTATTATAATCACTTTAAAATTATATTACTTATAATTTTTTACATATTTATAATTGCACTAAAAACATAACACTAAGGGCTACCCCCCTTATATATTTAATTAACAAAACCTTTTTTAAAACAACTGTTAAAAATTAATACCCATATATCACTGAACTGGCCTACAACAGGCATCCGCCTTCTCCATTGCTCGATCTTGCTTTCGAAGCCATCCCGTAAGAAGAATCGTTTTAAGGTGTGCTGCAATGGATTGTATGCGTATTGTTTAATAGGCATACGGCGGCTAATATGAGTATTAGATAGTAGCTTCAGCAATAGGGTGCCGCAAGCAGTACCATCTATGTGTCGATTAGGTTGCATGCATGTTTCTGGACCAGGAAAAAGATAAGACCGTGGCAGGTAGGGCAAGAACTGTACATCCGCATATCCTCAGTTAGCCTATTGAAGCCGATCCAGTTCTTCAAACTAACAATAGTCTGTGGGATTTGTTGAGCGAATGGCGTCACCAGCAAAACTGCCGATCAAGACCGAAATAAAGCTGAGGAGGAGGACTGCTGCCCGCTCTGATATATGATGCAATTGGAACAAGACAAGGAATGCAAAGACATATATCAATGGTTGTGGAAGATGGTCCAATGGATCGTTGTTGATGGGTAGGTGTATTTCTTAATCTACATTTTATGTCTGTTATTAACTTTGTTTATGCCGATTCTAATGTTTTCTTCATGCACCCATATCTTATTTTTCAAGCAGCAGTGTACCTTCTTGTTCGTCAACTACTGTGTCAAACTCTATATCAATTGCTGGATTGACGTCGTTCTCACCTATGGGCCCTGCAAGAGGCTCTACAGGGATATCGAAAACTTGGACTCGAGCAGTTCTTGCAAATCCACATACTGTGCTACTAGTTCTTGGACGTTGACTGTATTGGCGCCACCATTGCTAAGATCTGTTAGTCCCTCTTCGCCATTGTCGGAATGCTCGACATATTCGTCTTCTACTACGCACCAAATTTATCTGCATGTTAGCTGAACGTTCGTCTAGGCGAGAACTAATGTATAAGTAGGTAAATAATATCAACATACCGCCATCTGTAGCCTTTGGAGCTTGATCAGTTTCTGCAACACCATCAACAGCTTCACCTATTGATGTATCACCATCTGGTCCATGCATATTATATTAGAGTCCTGCATTTTCTCGTTCTCTCAGTAACACCACAGCATCACAACACAGCCATACCATTAATTTCATGTTGAGCAGCAGCAACAGAGAATATGGCGTGGTTTACACCTTCGACCTGATGATGGTTAGACTGGCTTAGAGTGACAAAGTCGTATCCCATTACTAGATACTGGCGGCTACACAGTTGGCAAAAGCACATCATAGTGGAACCTGTTCTATTGGCATTGGGATGCGACATGTTGGAAGGGAATCGAATAAGGTGAGTGTGACAGAGTATGATGGTTAATAGATAATACTTTTTCTTCTTCACTCTGCTTTTATATATCGATTTTATTTTTCATCGGTCAAATCAAATATACAAGTTAATGTATCAAATATACAAGATAATGTGTCGAACTACAAGTATGAAATAATCACTTCTTTATTAATGCTGCTTAGCAATGAGTGTCTATGAGCCTCATGGCTATGTGTTCTCTTACAATAGATATTAACTACTTCTTGAACGTGAAGAATGAGCTGCATAAAAAATATGGCTGATCGACTTTTTTTTGTAAACGTGCAAAAGGCCCAAAATAGGTTTTTATTTCGCTTGGTATTAGCTTGTATATTAAGGGGTCTTTTGCTCTCTTCTTCACAACCATCGCTCTTAATATTACCTCTACTAACTCTTACGGATAGCTTCTTGAATCTACTCTTTTCCTTTATTCTACTGAAGTAAAAATAATATCTATAATATTGTTATAAATAACAATATTATGATATTTTATTATACTGTCAAGCATTCAAATAAAAATCTAACTTCATTGATTTTTAAATAAACTGGGTGTCGTCGTACCTCCTAGTCTGTTTTTTTTCAAACATAATAGTGGAGATTAACACTAATGGTTGAGAATCTTATAGTGTTTGAGAAATTATTTTTTTTATTAAAAAATTAATTTCATCACTTATTATAATCACTTTAAAGTTATATTACCTATAGTTTTTTACCTATTTATTATTTCACTAAAAGCATAACAGTAAGGGCTACCCTCCACTACCTCATCTTTGCCACTGTCTTTTTTCTTTCTAGTTCACTTTGTGCAGCACGTTCTTTATATATTATGCAGCTGATATTTAGTGCTATTATGTCAACTCCCCCAAACAACACTCCCCCCTCAAACACTAGTCAGACCCCTTTATCTAGTGCTGCCATAGCTTTTTGAGTAAAAAAAGAAGACCTTAACCAATACCGAATCTCCTATCTCGTGGTAATGCAATCAAAAACGCCATTAGGGCTCTCCATCTTCAGTTATTGTTCCCCTTCCTGAAGTCAGTGACGACAACACGTTCAAAATTAATGGAATAAACTCGACACTTTTTTATTGCACATTTGTATATACGCACTTGACATGTTTGTAGCAACTTACATAAATTTACTTTTTTTTATATCGCCGGCCTTCCTTCGGCATAATTTTCTAGGGGAGCTAGTGCACCTCATCTACTGAAAAAAATTCTTCAGAATCCGGTACTTTTCTACTACCTGATTCTTCCCCACTTTGCCCAGTGCCTAGGCTTTTGAGTAGTAAGCAGTTAAATGGCACTGTATCATTGAGTAGAAGGAAAATAGGGGGTGCTCTATAAGCTGCTGCAAGGATATGCTGGAAAAATTTAGTAGGAGCAGCACTAAACTAGTGGTAACGAGAAAGAAAACAGAAAAGAGGCTGACTTCCTGTAAGTGTCTGTAAGAGCATGCTGCAATTGTTCATCATACATATTTTATTTGTGTTAGTAAAGCTCCATGGTATCAATATTAAAACAACGGGGCTCCGGTATAATTAATAATTATCAGAGAAGAATGTAGCAGAAGAGGGAAAATAAAAAGACAATTGCGAGGTTGATACCATTATGCGATGAATTTGGTTGTAGATGTTATAGTCAGATAGCGCCTGGTATGTAATAAAGATATAGGAGCAATTTTATAATAAGGAGAAGGGACTGGTGGTACTTAGGGGGGGTTATATTTCAATGTGAACATACATGTGCTTTAAGAGTAAAAAATGGTACCTGCTACTGAAAGAAGAATTATTTTTGTGGGCATGTACGTAGCACCTGTATAATAAAAGTGATTATCAAATGGTTTAGGTGCATGTGTTGTACTTTCAGATAAGCAAAGAGTGGTGGCACACGTTTTATGCAAGTACGCTACTTTGTATTAAATGTACATGGCCAAGATAATATGTTGCAACTACAGCACTTCATATCAAAAAGTACATGGCCAATATTAATATGAAGATGTGTACTGGATGTGTTGTTTATTAATTTTGCGAGTAAAAGTAGTATATAAGAAGGATAGTCCATGGTGAGAAAGAAAAAGGGCATTCATACTTTCTGCCTTACATATTTTAAGCTTCCCATATTGCCACCATCACAACAACAATGGAAGAGCCTGTCATGCTTTGTTTCTGCCAGCTATGCTCCAGCTGTAATCCAGATCAAGGATACAGACACGTAAATATACGAACGTAGAATGAACACCGTCAGGCCACCGTCTGTATCGCCGCTATTGCTACTGCACACAGAGCTGATGGTATGGTTCAATGGTAGTACATTCATGGTTAGATACATTGTGTGGGTATTTGCCGTGAAGTGACTAATATGCATTAACCTTTGCTAACTAGATCCAGCCGTTATTGGAGCAAGTAATGACGTCGAGATGAATATCGATTTGTACGATCCTATAGCAGAAAATAATATATCGCAATCCGAAATAGGAGGTTAACCACTAGCAGCAGTTCTCATTGAAAACTATTAGTTAAGAGTTATTTAGGGGTTGAGTATATTTCTTATGGTTGAGAATTTTCAAAATTAAATTTTATAATAATCTACTATTAAAAGAGAAGTGGTGCTTACTATAGTTACCCATTTTTGGAAATCCTGATCCTGTTTTGGAAATTGTGATGCTACTAAGCCCCGGCTGTCGGTATATTTTTTTTTGGCGCTAAAACTGGGATAAACCACTGCTCTTCCCTCACCTTTTCCTTCTGCCTACTGAATTCTTACACCACTATTTTCTCTTTTAAAATGAGTTTGCAACAAGTATGACACCGCATATTAGATTCTTCTTAGAAGATCTGACAACATTGTTCAGCGCGCAGCGCGCATTAGTTTCAAATGAACAATCGTTTTGAGTATTTTGAGTATAAAGCAAATAATAACCATATATTTCCCGCTTTAACAGAGTGACCAAGACCAAATAAACGTGCTTACCTGTATTTGTGGCTCAACTAGCCATTTGACCGAAAGTCATCACGATTGTCCTTTGAATGAGCGTAACATACGCCGTAGAATTGATAATGATGTATGTTTGTTATCTTTAATAGCGTGTTTGGCGGCTATAGTTATTAGAAAACAAGCAAAGCGAGTTTGCTCAGGATTTAGATAGAGGCGCTGGAGGGGGGGTGTGGGCAGTTTTGGGGAAACGCCCCACAGGAGGATCTGCGGGAGGGAACATCTTACAAATCGTCTACAAGATATCGTCTTCAAGATGTATTTCTTTGTCGGTTGTTTCTTAACACTAATTGTATATATGTAGGACATGAATATTGTCTTTGAGCAGTTTGATTCTCATACAAGTCAGCGCCAACGTTGCCGTTGCAGGTCCACCACACATCAGCGAGTAACGCATCGCGATTGCCCCCTTAATCGGAACAATCAAGGTATAGAATCTAACCATGCAGTATCTAGAGCTATGTGTGTTGTGTATTTGTGAAGCACATTACTTATGTGTGCATTGTAGGGAATGTCCGTGTCTGCGCGAGCTGTAATGCGCCTGGCCACTCTCGACGAACTTCTGAGGACTGTCCTTTCAATGATGCAAACATCCGATCTGAGCATGGGGCACAGTATCAAATAGCGTGCACTGTTCCTTTCGTTCCTGAAGATGTGTTTGGCCCCAGCATTTGTTTTACACTAGGAGAAAACTTTCACCGACATGTGCTTTCTCGCATGGCTGCTGTTTGTACGTTTTGTTAGGTACGTATGTGGACTGAGGAGCGCATTGCCAGCTCTTCAAACTCAAACCCACGTTTCAGTATTTGCTGCACTCATGGAAAAATACAGTTACCTATCCCTCGCCCTCCGCCACAAGAAATCATCGACCTGTTGACCAGCGGAAACGACGATTTCTTCACTAACATTCGCGCTTATAACAACATGTTTGCATTTGCGTCCATTCGAGCAAACTATGATCGCAATTTAGCTGACGGATCGCAAGGTGTTTCAACTTTCCGCATAAGTGGCACGATGTACCATTGCATGGGTGCTTTACGACCAGAGCAGCAGCAATCAGCCAACTTTGCTCAAATATATTTTGCCGATATGCAAGAGCAACTGATGAGAAGACAGACGTTGTTCACTGGACTCAACAGTGAGACGATAGCTGTGCTTCAGGGCGTTATGGAGAGATGCAACCCATACGCACAGACCCTTATGAATGCTGCTGAATCGTACCGTGACACCCCTATCGGAACACTCCAAGTTGTCATTCGTTCTGCGCGTGAGATGGGTAGACGCTACGATCAGCAAAGTTATCCCGAAGTCGCTGCAATGATCGTCGAAGACACAGTGGATGGTGCATCATCACCACATGACATTATCATCCGCGATCGTCAGTTGGGTCTTCGAACTGTCAGTTCCCTCCATGCATCGTATATGCCCCTCCACTACGTGCTTATATTTCCGTTTGGTGATGATGGTTGGTTTGCTGGAATGCAGTGTGGAAGTGCCGACCGTCAGACTAATACTGTTACATTGCTCGAGTTCTACTCTTATATGCTCATGGTCCGTGACGGGGACCGCACGAGCTACCAGCAACATTATCGTCGTCTTTTCCAACAATTAGTTGTTGACAACTATGCACGCATCAAGTATTCGCGCCTTCAGTATATTATCAACAATCAAAGTGATTTACGTTCTGAGGTGTACAACGGTATTGGTGATGATGTAGATCTACATCAGATTGGTCGATCAATTATTTTGCCATCTTCTTTCACAGGGGGTCCACGGTACATGAAGCAGATGCTCCAGGATGGATTGGCAATCATTCGTCAAAGAGGCAATCCCACACTCTTCATCACTTTTACCTGCAATTCACAATGGCCGGAAATCGAAGCTGAACTTCTT